CCTGCTCTAGTGTGTCACCAAGCATCCCAGGATTTTGCTGGTTCCAGCCAGTGTAGTTAAAGTAGCATCAAAATCCAAAATCTACTTGAGCAGTGTGAGAGACTTGAGTAGTGTGAGAGGAGGAATTCCAAAATGTCCTCCATTTTTACTAAGGAGCACAAATTTATCTTTTTAGGAGTGTTTTTAGCATTTACAATGTGCTCCATTTTTATCTTGAGTATCATACATTTTGTAGTGTCTTGTCCTCCTTTGCATTTAGGACAGCTGGACACCTTGAGGAGGAATTACAAAATGTTCTCCATTCTGTCTAAGAAGCATGAATTTATATTTCTAGGAGTGTTTTTGGCTTTTAGGTGTTGCAACATCCTCCATTCTTGTCTCGAATGTCATACATTTTGTAGTGCCTTGTTCTCTTTTGTGGTTAGGACACATCTGGTTGCGATGAGGAGGGATTCCAAAATGTCCTGCATTCAAAATAAGCATGAATTTATATTTCTAGGAGCGTTTTTAGCTTTTAGGTGTTGTCATGTCCTCCATTTTTATATTGAATGTTACACATTTTTCAGTGCCTCGTCCTCCTTTGCAGTTAGGACACATCTAAAATAAATAAATGAAATAAATAAAATAAATAATCTGGTCACCCTTAGGAGGAATACCAAAACGCCCTCCATTTTGACTAAAAAGTAGCATGGATTTAACTTTCCAGGAGTGTTTTTCACTTTTAGGTGTTGCCATGTCCTCCATTTTTGTCTTGAATGTTACAAATTTTGTAGTGCCTTGTCCTCCTTTGCGGTTAGGGCACATCTGAAATAAATAAAATGAATAAAATTAAAATAAACAATCTGGTCACCCTGAGGAGGAATCCCAAAATGCCCTCCATTTTGCCTAAAAAGTAGCATGGATTTAGGTTTCTAGGAGTGTTTTTCACTTTTAGGGGTTGCCATGCCCTCCATTTTTGTCTTGAATGTTACACATTTTGTAGCGCCTCGTCCTCCTTTGCGGTTAGGGCGCATCTGAAATAAATAAAAATAAAAATGAATAGATTGGTCACCTTGAGGAGGAATTCCAAAATGCCCTCCGTTCTGACTAAGCATAAATAATAAGTGAAAGAAATGAAATGAAAATAAATCTAAATCAGGGATAGGCAACCTGTCCCCTTTAAGGGCCGAGGGACTTCAGCTCCCAGAAGCCTCAGCCATGATGGCCAATAATCCCATGTTGGCCCATAGCTCCTGGGATTCTGGGAGTTGAAGTCCTTCGGCCCTTAAAGGGGACAGGTTGCCTACCCCTGCTCTAAATCATCTGGTCACCCTGAGGGGAGGCCTGAGGGGAGGCCACTCCCGAAGGGCCTCTACGGCAGAGGGCGCTCCTAAGGCAGGTAGGCCCAGGCCTCCTGCCTGTCTGCCTGCCTGCCCTTGGAGGCCTTCCCCGGCCTGAGTCTACTCGAGGCCCGCAGTGGGCCTGGGCCTGTTTCCGGACCGGGCCGCAATCTCAGCCGGAGAGTGCGCGCAACAGAGGTCGCCCTAGCAGCAGCGGAGGCCGCTCCCGCCTCCTTTGCTTCCCTCCAGCCCCGCGTGAGTGAGTGGGGCGGAACCCTTGCCGGCCTCCCCCTCGCCTGCTCCGGCCCAAAGAGACAAGGCAGCCGCCTGACTGGGACTGGAGGAGGAAGCCACAGGCCGCTCTGAGGGGAGGAAGAGAGGCTTCGCAGAGCGATGGTGAGCGCCATTCCCCCATATTCATTAAAAGAGACTTCTGGGGGTGCATTTCTTTGAAGGCGAGCAAGAAAGCCAGAGAGGAGGCAGCCCAGTCTCCTCTGTCTTCATCCTTGGGTGCCTTCTAGTCATTATGGCCACCCTAAAGGGGCTTTCTTGGCGAGTTCTTTCAGAGGGAGGTTTGACGTGGCCAGCCTCTGAGGCTGAGAGTGTGTGACTGGCTCAAGCTCTCCCAGTGGGCTCTCGTTTTGGTCTTAAGACGTTCCTATCCCAGTTGCTTAAACTTTGATTCGAAAGGGCATCCCTTGACCATTGTCCTCAAGGAGCTTACATTTGCTTGTCTCCCAGTGGGCCAGATTCGTTCACATGGGTTTTTCTATGGCAGTCCTCTGAGGCTGAGAGAGTGTGACTGGCTCAAGTTCACCCAATGGACTTCCATTAGGTGTGCAGAGGGAGCTCCTTGGCCAAATTGGTTCACATGGGTTTTTCTATGGCTGTCCTCTGAGGCTGAGAGAGTATGACCGGCTCAAGCTCACCCAATGGACTTCCATTAGGTGTGCAAAGGGAACTTCTTGGCCAGATTTTTTCACATGAGTTTTTCCATGGCTGCCCTCTGAGGCTGAGAGAGTGTGACTTGGCTCAAGCTCACCCAGTGGGCTTCCATTAGGTGTGCAAAGGGAGCTCCTTGGCCAAATTGGTTCAGAGGTGTTTTTCCACGGCCATCCTCTGGGGCTGAGAGAGTGTGACTGGCCCGATGTCACCCAGTGGCATCTCATGGCTGAGCTGGCATTCGAACCCTGGTCTCCAGAGTTGCAATCCAGCGCTCAAACCACTATGCCATATTATCCTAGAGTTGGAAGAGACCCCCAAGGGACATCCAGTCCAACCCCTGCCATGCAGGAACTCTCAATCAAAGCATCCCCGACAGATAGCCATCCAGTCTCTGTTTAAAGACCTCCAAAGAAGAAGACTCCACCATTCTCCAAGGGAGTGTGTTCCACTTTTGAACAGCTCTCACTGTCAGGAAGTTCCTCCTAATGTTGAGGTGGAATCTCTTTTCTTGTAGTTGAAGCCATTGTTCCATGTCCTAGTCTCTGGAGCAACAGAAAACAAGCTTGCTCAGTAATAATAATAATAATAATAATAATAATAATAATTTATTTATTTATTTATTTATAGCCCGCCCAATCACAATCACATCCTCCATATGCTGCTGTTGTTTGCCTTCAAGTCGTTCAAAACTTATGAAGCTATATAGGGCCTTTGCAGACGGCCAGAAATAGTACAAATTGAGTCCACTTTTAGGGTTAG